TTTCATAAATTACGATTTCATATTTTAATTTTATAATTTCTGCATGCCATCTTACCAGATTTAAACTGATGATCTATAATCCGGAATCGAAGTCCCGACGAGTCCGGATTAAAGACTTTTGACTGTAATTTCCTAATAGTTACTTTGGATTTTGAGTAAACTTTCCTTTAATTTCTTATTTTCCACCCTTAATTTTCTGCCAGAATGAGTTTTCAGGATGGTGTTTTATGTAAATGAGACAGAAGCAGTATTTAAGTTGAAGTGGTCACTTCAGTAGAAAAGCTTAGAAGTTGTTAGCAGAGCGTGTTCGGCCTTCTGGCCACATCTTTGATTTAAGCTAATCTTACTATATTTGACCATATTGTTACATACCTACTAGTATTCGCTGGTGAGCTTGAATAAGGGATAACTTTGTCAGTTATTCCTGTGCAGCTTTGGCTGGTTTTAGTTAGTTAGCATTAGATTAGTTTATCTTAAAATTAAGCCTAAGTATAGGCTTCCTATAAGCCCGAAAGGGGTCGTCTGTGAATACTTAGAGTTGAATAAAAGGGTTATTTAACACTTCTTTGGACTTGTTATATTAAAGCATTACAACCAGGCAATTAGTCGCTAACAGTTGATTCTGTTAATGACTACAAATTTAGAACATTATAATTAATATATATATGTGTGTGTGTGTATAATGATTTTCATCAATTTTGAGTTACAAAGTTGTACACAAAGTAATATCTTAAAATTTAAATAAAGAATTATGAATAGTTTAGTTCGCAAATAGCCTTTACGTATACCTAGTTTATAGAATTTACATAGAATTACATTAAATAACAAAACTCTATATCTTAACACAGGACAGTAAAAAAATATCAAAAATCTCTCCGACACAATGCCTGTAAGCAACATGGGGAAAAACATGGAAACCCATTCATGCAGGATATAAATGAGAGTTATAACTAGAAACCAAAAGCTGTAATATTAGAAATACTTTATCTTGTATATAAAATATTACTAAATGCCGCAAGATGTAATGCTTTAGCCAGACTCTTGATAAAAGAAAGTCATAAAAACCTTTTTAATATATTTTATATGCACATGCATACACACATATATATATCAAATATATCATATATAATATTATATACTATATATATTTTATTTAAAATATATGTTATTATGTTATGCAATATATATTTTTAGAATAAATTCATCTAGCATTATACAGTAAAAATTATGATTTATTATGAAAAAACTATATTTGATTGCACTTATCCAGCTATCAACAATCAATAACATTCTAGGCACCACATGTTATGATGTAAAATACAAATGAATTAACAGTGAAAGAACATATATCATTAGCAAAGAATCTGTAAAAATGGGTGGGGGTAGGGATTATACAGGATATTTTTCTTGCTGTAACAATTAAAATTCTTCTAATAAGATGGTAATAAACCAGAAAAGGGGGGAAATAAATAAATAAATTCTGAAGGCCTTCAGATTTTACATTATGCCTAATGGGGCTTTTTTTAATGTTTTGTGTGTTACCTTTATTTATTAAATATCACGTTTTGCACTTAAACCATAAAATTTGATTCATCAGCAATATTGCAAAATAATTTTAAAGTTAGCATAGCATATCTTTAGAATTTCCTATACACAGTTTCGCGTGCTGGAGATAAAAATGTGTCCGTACAGTCTTGCCATTGCTAGCTTTGAAATTGATGAGTTTGTTAATCTAAATTTTGTTAAAAGTGATAGAAAATAAGAAATTGATAATAAAACAAATTCCAAATTAGGGCTTCCTGATACCCATATTCGGTGGAGGATTACGTTATTTAAAATTTGATGGCTCCAGGTACAGTTGTTTTTTTCACAATGCTATAAAAATTCATGCATTCAGGCAAATTCTTCATCATTTAGTTTCTTTAAATATAACACATGGCGATAATATTTGGTGGCAACAGTTTGAAAAGTGAAATAACACAGAAAGTGAATCAATGCAAAATGCCAAAACGAAATTAATAGCCTTTCTGGCTATAAAAATTTGGGCTAATAAAAATTCAAAATCTAAAATTTGGTGAGTAAACATTTTAAATACATAAAAAATCGAGGTGCGGAACAAGAAAGAAAAGAAAACAGTAGCATGTGACCAAATAACTGATATTTGCAAATTAATCAATTCTGTAAGGCAAACTGCAAAAGAATTCCATTATTTGCAGCCAATAATGAGAACAGTTTTTTCCTCCAGCCATACTTCGCATTAATTAGTACATAACTTCCAGCTAAATGCTAAAGAAAGCAGTCATTAAAAATAGAACCTGGCATAATGTAAGTACATTTACATTACTATAATTATGAAGATTAGTGAAAATCTTGTCCTTTAGCAATGAATGTGAAAACTGGAAGAAAAGAAAATGCTGAATATGAAAGGAAAAAAAAAAAAAAAAAAAAAGGCTACTTATTCTCATTTCTTCCGTGTTCTTATGTAGCTACATTTCCTTTCTTCCGATTTTCACATTTACAGCCAAAGAAAAAGTTCTGTTTGACCTTCAAAATTGTGTTCAATGTATACTGAAAGTGTATTTATATTATGCCAGTTTTTGTAAATACTTTCTTAAGAATTAATTTCTTTTGATGTTTTCATGTGTAATTTCTTGCATATTCATCTGCTTTCGAATTTTACATAAATTGTTAAAAAAAAAAAAAATTCAACTATAAAAATACTTTCACTGAACTATGACTAATTTTAGTTTAGTATAAAATATGGAAAAAGAAATGATGTACTATATTTATCTATTTTTGACAGTTTTACTGATATATTTTAATTTACTAGTGTCAACTTGAGAATTTTAAAAAAGGGTAATCTATTTCTTAAATAAATAATCTTGTATTAATCTTAAATAATATAATCTATTTCTTAAATAATTTACTAAGGTCACTGAATGAATTTTATAAAATTTATGACAGAAAACTGTAATAAGAAATTAAGGAACTGTAATATGTCACAGCCAGATATATTAATTATAAAAAAAGTCTGAAAAATTCAGTCATCAAGAACACATTTTTTCATGATGTAAAAATGCACATTATATGTTACTAAATTTCCCTCCACATTGCAGGAAAAAGCAAATGAGAAATCAAAGTAAAGCTATAGAGAAACCATGGTTGGTATAAGAGAAAGATAATTTTTGTAAACCACAGTTTTTAATATATGCATTTCATATTAAGTTAATTGATATAAAAATTAAACAAAAATACAAAAAAGCTCTTTTTTTTCCACTAAAGAGGTTTAAAACTTTTCCTTATCATATTGCATTATACAGCTACAGCACTCAAAAATTAGCAAATAAATTTTCCAAAAAGATTAAAAATTTTCTATACCTCATTTGCAAACTAAATCCTAACATTACCACAAACCTTATTAAAACTACACAACAATTAAGTACTAGGATAGATAAATTCAAATGTATAAAATCCTACCCACACATAGAATTTCGGGGGAGGGGGGACATTCCATCTGCAATGTTTGAATAAATGTTATTTAAACAAAACTGTATATAGTTTAATTTTTTTTAATTCTTTCTTATTTACAAAGTACGATTTAAAAACTTCCAGTTTAAATAATTAAAGCATAAATAACTCTATTGCTTCAACGTAAATAAATACAAACAAAACAGGTAAAAAGTCAGCTTTAAGTTTGAAAAATGTCGCAGCATTTTAAAAAATTTGATTAAACACATATTGTTTTTATGTCTATCTTAAAGGCCTATTCAAATAGTGCCATGGACAAAGATGACAGCCCTGGCTATCTGCAAAATGTTATCATCATAGAGGTTTTGTCTCTTAAAACTCCAATGTTTAGCAAATTATAACTAAACAAATGTTTTAATAAAAATTTATATGCATACAAATGAAGAGAATAATTCTTCTCTTTAAAGAAAAAGACTCTAGATATACATCTCTTAAATCTCACCAGAAGTACTCTGACTTACCAGTATGTGCAAAGCAAACATATGAGGGCTGTTACATACAAATTTTAAGTACTACTTATTATCAGAAGCCCATTGTGAAAATTTCATACATTCATCAAAGATACAAATTTATATATTTTTCAACAAGGATTTCATACATTCATTCATTCATTTCATCCAGGATTTCATACATTCATTCACTTCATCAAGGATATTATATATTCATCATCAAGGATTCTGTATAGGATACAAATAGTATCTTATAATTATAGTATACATTTTTACAGTAACTCTGTACAGGATACAAATAGTATCCTATACAGACTTACTCTAAAAAGTAATACAACATTAGGTCTAATTACTTGTAGTTATAATATCCTACGTCCAACATATTTTCTAAAATTTAAATGAAGTAAGTACAAATAATTTAGAGATGTTATTCATAAATAAATTTATATTAATTCAAACAAATTTATGTAAAATGTGATTTACAAAAAAGAAATAGAAGTAAAAGAAAATAATAAAGCAAATGCACTTTATTTTACAACATTTTAAAAACTTTGATATTTAGGCTATAAAAATCCCACACCGATATATTATTATATCAAAATAAATGTAGTTCCATAACTAGAACAAACTCGTACTCAAATATGGAATACTTTACTCAGTGTGTAAAACGTACAAAATGCTGACGACATTAAATATTGCACTTAAGAACTTCCTTTCATATATATATAATTTTTATAGTGATCACAAAATTCAAGACCTATTTTAATTACTTGATTACTACCAAATCAAATACTATTCTTTTCCTAAAACAGAAAGAATAATTACTCCAATCTCAAATTTTACATTTATATATATACATATCAATCAGAAGGGAATTTTAAATTTCTTACTACTTTTACCAAACAATATTTAAAAGCTCAAAGAATGCTCTGGTGAACAAACAATATCTCTAGTCACTTATTTCTAACAAAACTGGATTAGAATTATTAGTTAAATACAACTTAAGACAACAAATATGTATACCTGATATAAAATAGTTTTTGACTCATCACAGAGACAGTCCTAATATTCGAGGTCTTTTGCAACCTGCAATATTCATAAGCATTAATACAGTGGCATGCAAAATACTCTAAATGAACATTTAGCAAGATTTAAATTAGCCCACATTATGACATTCATAAACAACTATTAAAATATATCAAATAACTAATTCTAATTTTATATTTTATAACAGCAACTTTACTTCCAATTTTAATACATCGAAATTAATCAGTCTAACATTCACATGTTAAGCTTACAAATATTAACCCTGCATTTCAGGGAATCTGTCTCGATATTGCATTTAGCAGCTTTACACATAACATTAAGAGCTTCGTTAAAAATAGTAACGAAGTTTCCGAAACTTAATGCATCTTTTGAAATATACACTTCTCGAACATCAAAATGTCTATGCACAACAAAGCAAATGATACCGACACCTAATAGTAGCACGAACATAATTAAAACAAAATGCAAATTTGCATCGCTTCATGATGTTATTATGGTTGATAATATTCATTATCTCTAAAATCTCTTTCAGAGATTTAAACTTACGCACGAATAAATACTGCACTTTTAAACCTTTCAAATCGGTTGTTGCATTGTTTCAAAACAAACACAAAAATTACAGCTTAAATAACCGCAAGAAGAATTTTATTCGACAACTTTTACGAAAATAAAAATAATCCAGCAATCCTTGCTCATTTCCTTTGATTTCATATCATAATCGTGTGGCCTGTGCATTATTAGAATTTTTGAAATCATAAACAAATACGAAGGAATTACTTAAGTTTTGACAAACCTTCGCAATTTTTCGTACATGGCCAACTACGCGATGCGTCGAAAATTTTCCTAACAGACACTGGATTCAGAATAATTGCATTTAAAGCCGGTAGAGTGCATAAACCTTCAGGAATGCTATATAGAATATAAAAACGATCTTCACAATTTTAACTCAAGCAATATTTGTATTCAATTTATTTTTAGCGATAATTCTTTTAATGTTTTTTTAATCTGCGTATACTGGAAGCAGAATATCATAATATGGATAATTAAATAAATTTTTTAAAAAATAAGAAAAAATTTATCTTAACTGTTTTATAAATTTATAATTATGTTCCATTTGTTAAATTAAACTCATTTACTTCAAAAAATTACGCAGAATTCAGTAAAGTTCTCTTATGCTAGTCTTCACAATTTATTACTCTTATCATGCAATAATATAGTGTATGGCCTTAAATCCTGTAGAATGCCTGTCAAGAATGTTCTCTGAAGTATATCCCAAATTTGACGCTTGTTTCAAATGTTGTTTGAAAATTTTTACGAAGTATTACTTGCGTGAGGACCTAAAATACTTTTTGAAGCAGTTGTTTCCAAAAGTTATGAAAAAAAAATCGAGTAGTAATACTACCTCTCACCATAGAATGAAAAAGTGCGAGGTCATGAAATTTCTTAGGTAACACTTTACGTGAGTTCGAGTAGTTTCGGTTTAAAGAACTCATTAGAGCTTTATATCCGAAAGTTTTGTTATTAGCTTTTAACTCCAAAGATTACATATTATACTCCAAAAGTAAAATAAATCTTTGGGGTATTGTTCGGAAAAATATTAATATAAAAATGCTGCATAAAGGAAACATATTGTCAATGTTGTATGTCATAAGATAATCGTCAAACTAGAGGTTAGCCAAAGCTAGAGACAGGGAGCTCAATATTTCCTCTGCCAGTATATGTAAATTTTGAACATTGTTTCAAACTGACAAAATTTTTTAAGGCTATAATCGTAGATGCATGACAGAACTAATATGCGGTCGCAGTTGACTGACACCAGCAAGCGTATTAGCCCAAAAAACTCTAGATAAACTCAAGAATCTTTCTATCCAAGCTAATATTTTATCGACGGTACATGAGATCGGCGTGTATTATGTCATATGTAGATCCATAGAACGTGGTGTAATGAATATCTTCCAAGGACTCCGCAGTAAATGAGCGATTTATTGGGATGTCAATCTGCATCGTACTAGAGATTATTAAGCAGTACTTACAGTTTTGTGATATAGCAAATGTATGATAATGCAAGTTCTCATAATTCCCCCTGGCTTCAGTCGTATCTATAGTCTGGTAGCATAATATACTTAGATTGGCCATTACAACTTAAACCACGCCGAACATTTAGGAAATATGTCCTACCTGCAATACATAATTTCCTATTACGAATCATGGAATTGATCAAAAAAATGCTCAGCAGAGGACTGAATTCCGTTTTTCAGAAATTGTTGTGCTGTTTTTTTTTCATCAGTCTGCCGAACTACTGTACAGCATGTAGAGCACAATAACCATAAATCATATTAAATTTTTCCGATTACCACAGTATCATCAATGACACGAGCAATGTCAAGGCTGACATTTCATGCCAATTTTCTTTTTGCTTTCCCATGGTTTTAAACAAATATTTTTCTTATATTTTGTTGGCATTTTTTTTTCTGATTTCCCATGGTTTTAAACAACTATTTTTCGGCACCTATTCACCTTCTTGGTCTACGTTTTCTACAGCTGGGTAAGACAAAACCAACCCAGATATTAACTTCCTTAATTTTTGGAATATTTGGTGTGTATTCCATTTTGTAATAGTATTTTTTATTATAACTTATAAAATAATTCATAATTATGCCCTTTGTAACGTCAGAACACCCGTGTTGAGTGAAAGAAGAAATTCTTGATTAAATATTAGAATAATTGAATCATTACAGCCATAATTCTACAAAGGCCGCTGACGCGGCGACGAAGTTAAAATGCGTCTGTTTTCACTCATTTACAGCATCAAAAAGCTTTTTACATAAAGCTCCCTCTTCGTTTTTGTTACAACCAGGAAAAGAAACTTAATTAGTCTCTTATGTCCGGAAACCACACCAGGGGGTTTCCGCTGCACCTGTCTTCCAAAGGTCTGCTGTCCATTCCAAAGGTCCGCTACAAAAGAATATTTTATTGTAGGCAGTGACAGTTAATTCACCGTTTCAGGCAGAGAGAAATTGGTTTTCTCCATTCTTTTTGTTTGAGACAAGACTTCACCCCTTTCTATAATGAGGGGAGACTTCGCTTGAGGGTTCGAGTTCGCCGCGTTCAGACTTTGAGGCCGGACATTGAGGCCTTAAGTGTTCGGTTGAACCACAAGAATAACATTTAAGTGGTCTTCTCATATCGAATTGACGCTCATTCTGTTTCCGGAGATGATCCTTTTTCTCAGAGGCGTATCTATCTTTCCCTCCAGATTGGTGATACTTTTGCGGATCCCTTGAATTTAAATTATTTTTATTTTCCCGTTGTGACTCATAACTAGGAACAGGAGATGTCTTCTTCCGGGTTTCACCGTACGTTTTCATACTCTTCTAGCATTTCTGCTAATTTATCTGGAATCGTTATCTTCGGAGCAACTTTTCCCGATTTCATTCTTTGATTGACTCGGAGCTCGAGTACCTGTTTTCACCTGAAAGAAAAGTTTATCGTGTTGATCTACAGCTAAATTTTCGGCGGTTCTGTTCCCTAACAGATAATGACCGGGATCCAATTCATTTCGAATGACAGCTGCTTTTATTGTTACTTGGCCAAACGTTCCTTCTATTGTAACGTTTGCTAAGGGTAAACAAATTGTGGCCTCTTCAAACGGGTGTTTTACCCAGACGCTGAACACTGGTAGTTCGGTCCGAGGTTCGAATCCCGAGAACGGGCTGGCTGCATGGGTGTTTTCGTGGTTTTCCCCATGTGTAACGTGTATACGAGCCAGTTTTCCTTAGAAAGTCCTCCACGAAGGCATCCCTCCCTTTAAGCAGATAGCCCTCGTGTGCTTTGCTATAATTAAATAATCCAATCCAATCCCAAACAGTCTCGCCCGTCAGCATCGAAGGAGTGAGATATTTCTTGCATATTACGTCAATGCATGACCCGGTATCTCTCAAAACTGGAAGATCAAAACCGTTCACCTTAGCCATCGTTAGATATGGGGCTAAACAATCTTCTTCAATCTCCTGGACCATATTTAACAATAAACGGGTTTTTGAAATCCTTCTTAACTTCCGGACATTGAGGCCTTAAGTGTTCGGTTGAACCACAAGAATAACATTTAAGTGGTCTTCTCATATCAAATTGACGCTCTTTCTGTTTCCGTAGATGATCCTTTTTCTCAGAGGCGTATCTATCTTTCCCTCCAGATGGTGATACTTTTTGCGGATCCCTTGAATTTAAATGATTTTTATTTTCCCTGTTGTGACTCATAACTAGGAACAGGAGATATCTTCTTCCGGGTTTCACCGTACGTTTTCATACTCTTCTAGCATTTCTGCTAATTTATCTGGAATCGTTATCTTCGACCATTCGTCAATAAAATGCTTCCGCATTTCGACATTTACACGGCGCTTCATTTGGTCCGTTATCATGAGATCCTTTAAAAGTTCAAAATCGGTAATTTCCAAACCTGCAATCCATTCTTCAAATTAATTCCTTATTTCAAAGGCAAAATCTCTCCAACTGGTTAGAGTGTTTTTCTGGGATTCCGTAAATTTTTTGCGAAATTTTTCTGGACTAAGCTTAAACCTTTTAAGCAATATCCTCTTTACGTAATCGTATGCATAAACCTGCTGTTCTTTTTCTCGCATAATCAGCTGAACTATGTCCGTTAGCAAAATGGTCAATAAAACAGAAACCCATTCTGATTGGTGAAGATTCACACGCTTTGCTAAGCGCTCAAACATGACTAGATACAAACTGATATCGTTCTCTTCAGGATCAAATTTTGAAATCTTTTTTTTTTTTTTTTTTCAGATCGTAACGACTTTCTTCATTCCCACCATTTCCAGAGTCATTTCCGTTAGCGGCTAGTAATCTTAACTTCGATAATTCAAATTCCATTTCTTCTCTCCTAATTCTATCTTGCCTTTCTTCTCGCCTAATTCTATCCTGCCTCTCTTCTTCTTCTCTCCTAATTCTTTCTGCCTTTCTGAAGTGATATTTTCTAACATGCCTTTCACTAGTTCCTCCTCATAGGATTCATTTCCCATAATCAGCTGTCTTAAATCCACTATCCTAAGTTCAAGACTAACTTTTTCCTCTAACTCTTCAGCCAAGGATTTAAGTTCCTCTATCCTAACTTTTGCTAAGAATGCCATGATATGAACAAAATTATGCTAACAACCTAACAATTTTAGCTCCCTCACACTATATCTATATAAAATAGATTTAAACAAATATCATTTTCACAAAGAGAGAGTAAAATTGAACCCTTAATTTTTTTTCACAACATTTTTTTACAGATCTTAAACAAAAACAAGACAGTTGGACTATAATATGCATATTATACGTTCAAATAAAAATTTGTCTACTTGAGGACTTATGATACTACAGATAATATTACCTCTTATAAGCTTTAAATTCAGTTGCGTTTAACTCAATTGCTTATGATAATACAATATACTTTCATTAAAATTTGAGGTATATTAAAATATGCATTCAAAGGTTAATTATAAAAAACATATATCTACATGCTCATGACTAAACATTAATATGACAACCGTTAAAATGAAAAATACTTGGGATTTCTAGCATTCCCCTTTTACTCATTCAACAGAGAAAAATTTTCTCAGTTCTTACACAAATAATGTTTGATACACCTTAACTGAAAATTATAATATTTATGATATTCAAAACGTCTTAGAAATGAATGTCAGAATGTGACCTAACCTTAGAACCTTCAAAGTTACAGTAATTTGAGCACAACACATT